TATAGAGCCGCCCTTCGAAAGCCACAGTGTGGGAATCCTTTGCTATGATGATCATCCACTTGCGCCCACGTAACTCTTCATGGTAGAACTCGGGCGGCTTCTCATCTGCATTCATAAACAAAATTGACGATTGTGAGTTTGGCTCGAGGTCCAAGACCCACCCCATGATTATCATCTCCGCGCCGGGGTGCGTTTTTCAGCAGTTCGTGAGTGACATCTCATGCTGAGAACATTACTGCTAGAGGTATAGAATCGGTACTGCGTTCGTGCTTCTATAAGAAAATTAGGTACCCATGCGCCACCCTCTTGACCATCCTCGTTTATCGGACATAACTCGGGCAGCAGTTGCAGCTGGGATGTCAGACTCGCGCGGAAGCCGACATTAGGTCCAGCTCTCTGTGACTCAGATATTTCGAGCATGCGACTTTCAATCCACTCCGTTTTTTTGTAGGGATAATATTTATGTGACATCTCGCGCCAGACAACAAATTTTTTCCTTTCTTCCTTCGTACGGCCGCTGAACCAAATCTCCACGTGTATGTTCTGAAACACCTTACACACACTATGGTCCGGCGCAGGTCAAATTTGAGCAGCGCACTTTCCTTTTATGACGTCTGATTTGAAAAACCGGCGCCGATTTTCACCACTCGGCTTTTCTCTTCAATTCTGAGAACTTCCTTCTATAGGCTATGGCATTCGCCCAAAGTTTCACATGATACACAGTAGTCACGTAATAGCTTCCAATTTATATGTAGCCTGCTGGCTCTTATCGCCTCTGCTTTTCTGCATTTCTCTTATATTGTGTCGGCCACCTGTGAATGGCGATGAACCTAATATCTTCACATATTTATTTTATTCCAATAATATGTTACTTTAATATGAAGTGTTATATACTATTCGGAAGCTCATCTCATGCTCTTTCTAAATGATACTCCAAGATTGGTTGTAATTCATTTTATTATAATTTTTATTGACATTTTATTGCAGATGTCGAAACGTGAATTTCGCACTATTTTCTTCTATGAGTTCAAGCTAGGACGAAACGCTGCCGATACAGCTCGGAACATCAACGAAGTTTGGGGTCAAGGAAGTATCAACGAATCTACGGTCCAACGTTGGTTCCAGAAGTTTCGCTGTGGCAACACCAGCCTTGAAGATGAACTTCATGTTTGGTGGTCTGCCGCCGGTCTCATCCATCACAGCTTCCTGAATCCTGGTGAAAAACAATTATCGGCGCAGGCAGGTACTTGTCAACAAATCGGAGAAAGTGCATTAGTAAGTCCTTAACGCATATGCCAAGGTTGGTCAATATGAAGGGACTCCACGATTCCGGAACTCTTCTCCACGACAATGCCCGACCACTTTTTGCACAATTTACCCTCCAGAAAATAAACGGATTGGGCTATGAAACTCTGCCTCATCCACCATACTCACCAGACCTGTCGCCCACCGATCACCACTTTTTCAAGCATCTGGACAACTATCTTAGAGAGAAAGCTTCAAAACCAAGACGATGTCAAAAACGCCTTCAACGATTTTGTGGCCTCTAAAAAGAATTACAACCAATCTTGAAGTATCATTTAGAAAGAGCATTAGATAAGCTTTCGAATGATATATAACACTTACATTTTATTGGAATAAAATAAGTATTAAATACAAAAAAACAAAATCCTGCATTTCTTTTGCAACGACCTAATAAGATAGATCCCGGATTTTGAAGACTTCGTATATAGTCATAGAAGCAGAACTTACGAAACAAAATCTGAAAATTTATGTCAGCGCTGCCACGGCCAGGCCGACACAAGTAGCGTGTAGTGTCTGGCGTGATGGTTGATGATTTTCCCAAAGAGTAGGTGGTGGTGAAAAGAGGTGAATTCAAATTGAAAAGGATATAAATTAGAGTGCTCAGAAGCTGACCTTGATTTTTTTTCTCTTCTTTCTCTAGAAAAATTTGTTTTGAATGTCATAAGTTCTCTCCGATCACTTGATGGATAGAATAGAAGGTTCATTTCAGAAAATGCAAATTCAACAGCATATCGTCCCGTCGTATTCTTACAGCACGGTCTCCTCTGCACCAGTTCCATATGGTTGCTCAATCTACCTCATCAATCAGCTGGTAAGAGTTTTTGCAATATCTGCTTTGCTCAACTTTGCTTAGAGCCAAACCACTGTTGAGCTGTCGCCTTCTTCTCTTGCTGAAGTCATTTTCCCGAAAATATGCTTCGTATTCAGTTTTCTTTGGTTTATTTTCATTTCCATACACGTGTTGAACACATATAAATGTCACGAATGACCCGTGCTTCCGCTTATCGTCGAACTGACCAAGCTGGCATTAGTAAGGCTGCGTTATACTTTGTGGCAGCGTCCACCAGCGTTCACCAGCGACCGGAGTAGAGAGTATGGGGAAGTAGGAGGGTAGCAAACAGCTGGATTAGGCGTCGTGAAATTGCGGCGTGTGCAACTGCACCATGCAATTACACTACACCGTAAATTAAATGGCTGCAACGCCGCAATTTCACGGCGAATAATCCAGCTGTATGCTACCCTCCTACTTCCCCGTACTCTCTACTCCCGGTCGCTGGTGAACGCTGGGAGACACTGGCAGGCGCTACATCGATACCTATATTTCTCTAACCCTCTAGACGCTGGCATACGCTGGTGGACGATGGAATGACGCTGGCAGACGCTGGTATGCCAAAGTATGAACGCGGCCTTAAGAGACGTTCCAATCACTTTGTCCTCTGCATGCTAGATGACTTCCTGGAAAGCTCGACTAAGCCCTCAGGCTTTCAATTAGGGTGAGGTGGTGCTATCATAGTGTGCAGAAGAGCTGAACCCTGCCTAATTATGGCGGGATATACTGAAAGAAGAAAAAAGGGTATACTGAAGTTTTCAAACGCCAGTCCTAACTCCTTACATCAATCATGTTCACTAGCGTTCTCTGTTCAAACCTTAAAAGTTACGACGAACTATAGAGACCAGAAAACAGTGAACAAAATGGGCCAGGTGCACGCTCAAGCCAAAGCGCATTCAGCTCAGAGGTACCTAATTTGTATTACTGCTGACAGGCTTATCTGTTTGCTGACCGTGGATTCGATGTGTGGCTGGGTAATATGAGAGGGAACATCTATTCACGACGTCATGTCACACTGGACAGCGATTACAAAGAATTCTGGAAGTTCAGGTGAGTCTTCAACCGTTTCAACCAATAGTGATTCAGAAAGGAAAGAACACATGCATAGGCAAAAAACTTCTTGGAGAGGCTCATTTCATTCCTCTTGGCTGCGTCCCGGCTGATTGCGACGAAATCAGTTGAGGGCTCTTCACCACGTGCTCGTAGAAATGTTCTTTTCAGTTGGGAAGAAATGGCTGATTATGACTTACCGGCTATGATCGACTATGTACTTAATGCTACCGAACAAACGTCACTCTATTACGTTGGCCACTCGCAAGGAACATTGACGATGCTCACGAAACTGAGCAAAGACAAGGATTTCTCCAGAAAGGTTGGTTTCACTGGAGGGAAAAGGGTGCTTCGCGGATTGGAGGGGGCATTTTGCACTTTCGCTAGTGCTAGGGCATGTTAACTAACAGGTCACTTGTAAGCACTTGGGGAGCAAGTGGTCAACTTTAGTCACAGGAATTAAGTGGTTTCCACAAATGAGCTCGTATAAACCTCGCTGAGTACCACCTGGTACCCCCACAAAGCCGAACTTTGCCTGAAAAGTGCACAAAATAATGTAAAGCGCTTCGCGGTGAGCTTTTGCCTGGAGTTCGTTGGGGCAAGGTCCATCCAAGGGTCATCTGGTGAGCATTCTGAAATTGGAGGTGTGGAAAAATTAAGCCCTTTGACCCGTGGCATGTTCCAGGAAGATGACTCTGCTTACTGTAGCGCCTTTTGTAATCACTTCGGTCCAGGTGTATCACCTAGGCAACACCACCTGCAAATTCGCATCGCCGCAATATGGATCTCCTGACCCACACCGGGATTTCCACAGCTTTTATGTTCACCCTATACTTTTCTTTTGCATTACTTGCCGTGCTCACCTTGACTGTACTAAAATTCCTTTTTTGAGGGGACCCTTTAATTTGGTTTGCCCCGATTTTTTTCTTCCGTTTCAGAACCTCCCAAGGACCATTCTGACGGGGACTGCATGATTTTCACTTTTTCTTCAGATTCGCAAATTTTTCTCGCTCGCTCCAGTGTCACGAATGTCCCACGTCAAAGGATTGTTTTACTATCTTGGTCAAATCTATGAGCAATTCAAAGTGAGTGCGCTACGGTAGTCCCTTACAATGACCGTATACGTTTCGGTTTGCAGTAATTTTAGCTTGTTTATCGATTATTCGGCGATAATGAATTTTTGTCAAACAACATATTCACACAACTACTGACGGATATCATTTGCGACAAATCGGTGAATAATCCGCTATGCGAAAATTTCATTTTCTCCGTGAGCGGACCAAACAGCAATCAGTTCAACTCGGTGAGTCAGGTTTAGTTGAGCTTTGCTTTCCATCGCACTTTTCTGCGGCACCCCACATCTTCCTCAACTCGGTCCCATCTTATGCATACAAACATTACGATTATACCAATAGGAATAACATGTGATTTTCAGTCCAGAATTGGCATTTATTTGGCCCATAATCCAGCTGGGACGTCGTCTCGAAACATGTTACACTTTGCGCAGATGGTACGCACAAAAAGTATGGCACCGTTCGATCTAGGGCCAGAAGGAAATACCAGGAAGTACGGTCAGGTGAGAAAAACGTAATTTCATCTTGATTAATATGTTTCGTGAATCGAGTTTGACTTTCCATATAAACCGTAGATTTTTCATCTTGATTAATATGTTTCGTGTGAATCGAGTTTGACTTTCCATATATCATTAGGTGGTCCTGAAGATTCTTCTTCTTTTTTTTGTTTTCATCCTTCTACCGTGGGGTTTAGAAGCGAAAGGGTAGAACGAACTGACCATACAGACGTTATCGCAGAAGTCAGTCGGGGCGTGTCATCGGCGTATGCGCTTTAGCGCAGCGTTAATCAGGCGCTTTCTCACCACTCAATAAACGCGCGAACCGCAGTGATTGGAAACGGGTTGACCACGGTGACGCTGCGCTATAATTCATGACTGCTGACACGCCCCGACTGACTTCATTGATGAGGACTGTGTGCTCTGCAGATCGATGACAACACAAACCGAAGGTCAAATTGTATGAAACAAAAGACCATACTTTCAGGCTATTCCACCAGAGTACGACATGAGCCGTGTCCATAGCCACATCTATCTTTTCTACTCGGATTATGACTGGCTGGCTAATGCCGTGGACGTTGAAGAGTTCCTGATTCCATCTTTACCAAAGTCCAGCGTCAAATTCGCCAGGTTTGTTGGAAATGATTCAAGTAGTAGTGTCACCCGTTCATCTGGCACTGGATCGTTTCCGCTTGATATCGTCTTGCTGAACCCTCGTTACCCTCGAATAACGCTAAAGTCCTTCAAGTCGAGCAAAATTAGCTCGGGACTTGCTTTAGTGCAATGACCATCACAACTGCCTGCTAATGGTAAGGAAGCAGATAGTACTCATCTCCTTCTGCAGGTCTCCAGCCTCGCCTAGGACCAAACATGCAAATAGCAATTTGGGGATACGCTGCTAAACCTCCGAGAATTCTGGTCCTGCTATCGGCAAGGTGAAGTGAGTCCGCAGTTGTGGAAGGGTGCCTATTTCGTCACCCTAAATTGCGCGGAAATGAGGCAAGAGGGTAGTGGTAGCCGGATGCCTTTTGGTGCGCCCACAGGCAAAGCACGCAACACGCCGCATTACCTACTACATGTCTGGCCAAGTCAATCGCTGTTTTTGCTCAGGTCAAAAAGCTGCTGTTCTTTACACTTCGCTGAGATGAGCATCAACGCACTTGCTGCATGTTTTGGGACTTTGGGTGGAGCCCCGAATGACGTCTACCTCTCACTACGCTCCACTCATTTCCGCGCCCTTTCAAATGATAAAAGTGATACCTTCACAACTCCGACTCCCCTCACCTCCTTACAAGCACGACCCGACTCGTAGGAATGTTACAGCTCGTTTCAAACGACATGTCGATCGCTAACAAAGCTAGACCCAGCGGCGGCGCAGATCATCAGAAAATAGAGCGGCGTATAGAGACAACGATGAGCCAACGTCACCTGACGGTTTCTGAATCCTCTCTCATGGCTGCTGAAGGTTATCCATTTCTCCTAACGTCAGGGCCGGGTATCCACCCCTGCTTAGCTTATAGGTGACTGGCCGGTATGTAGCGCAGTACTGTCCTACTTGTTTCCGCTCAGAAGCAGCGCAGGAGCTAGGGGCGCTAGTTTGACGCTCGCCACCGACCTTAGACTACCAGTGCTGGTCAGGTTTGCCTGTTCAGCAACTGGCAGCAGAACTGTAGAAGATCAGACCAATCTCTTTCAGCCGCAGTCTTACTGCAGCCACGAAAAAAGATTTTAAGCTATAAGCTACAAGTACAATTGATATGATGGATGTCGTCAAAAGTTACTCCCGTTCTCCATACTTCCAAGAATTAAGAGTTCAATCATAACGATTTTCTTTGGGGTCTACGAGCTCGCAAGGAAATATACGATCCAATCACGAACATTATCAAAATCGATACACGACGGTTGTTGATTCAGAAGAGGCCATGAAACATATTTCAAAGTGAGCACTTCTTTAAAACTTCGAACACTTTCTACAATACTATTTAAATAATACTTTTCTAAATCCTCAAATAGTTACAGTTCTTTGGTAATATCTCTTTTCAGCTCGACGTAACGACCCCCCAGCAGAGAAATCTGAAGTGCACTTGAAAAGGCTACGAAGAAAAACCTTTACGACTTATTCAGCAGCATCTTTCTTATGCTGGCTGTTTATAGCACCTTACACAGCGGGTGTGAAATACTACTGTATTTTGTGCGCAGAAGTGTGTAAAACTTAGAGATGCGTGCTTTTCCAGTTTTGCCACTATCCAATAAATCCATTTCAAATTTTTTCTTTCATTTTTCGGTCAGAGTCCGGCGAATGAGCTTTTTAGGAGTAAGTAAAAGATGCAGAAAAATTCTCATGGATCAGTTCGGTATTTGCGTTCGCTATCCCGAATGTTGGAAGGTCTGACTGGACTGGTGAATGCCAAGCTGAGGTGATATTACCCCTATCGGTGCAGATGTAAGTCACCACATACCGCTTATTCCACCTCCGACCGGCATGCCATTATTACTTCAAGCCTCAGAACTCGTCAGCAGCTATATTGGAATTCTGGAGCACTTAATGTAGAAACTAGAGTTCCACGTATTTCCCGAAGGGTTCAGCACCGATTTTCCTTTGCGGCTTCTTGCATTGTAGCTCCACCTGATTCTCATCCCATCAACTGGGGTTTTACAAGGGGACGCAAAAAAAGTCCACTTCGACCGAGTCACGCTATCAGCAAAGTTTCCTGCCCCAAAAGAAGACGTGTTGGGGTGGTCGTGGTGATTTAATACAAGCAACGAAACTAAGAACAATAAGTGAAATTAACTCTTATGTAACGCAAAAACCCACGATAATAGTCATGAGGATGATTAGAAGTATAGATTCCCTACGCTGGCTTGACCCCGCGTCAGGTAGGGGGCGGACTTAATGAGGGATCGTCGTCTCAGACTGTGAGACGACGATGAGGGAAGGAATCGTCGTCGCAGACGACGATACTCCGCCGGCAACGGAGTTTACATTCAATGGGGTTTTATACAGAGATACTATACAGAACGAGATTATCAACATATAGCAGTAAATTTGGTACTGCTCGGGCGGCCGCGATGGCACGCAGCTGCGCTCATGCCGCTTGGTTGCGGACGCGTTATAGGCAGGCAGCTAGAGGTCGATTGCGGTGATGGACAAAGGCGGTGGATCTGCACTTGGTGTGTAGATCTGGACGGCTTGTATAGCGCTAAAGGCGACGTCCGATGGTGGGAAACTTAAGAGATAAATTAATTCACAAAACATAGTTTACTGTGACATCAAAAAGGTTTGATCAAAGGGTTAAGACAATCCATCGATCGTCGCTCTTGCCGTGTTGAGCTCACCTGAGAACCCGTCTCATGTACGGTGCCTTGAAATGCCGCGTTGCCACCTATATAATTTGGCCACTTTTCGTCGCCTGCTTCTATTGTATTGTACCACCGTGGGTGGTGACAACAATATTTCATGCATCGAACGATCGACGAGGACGACAGTCATCCAACCGGATGGAGGTGTGAAGCAGTTTATTCTACCGGGTGCACATAGGCCAAATGGGTATTAATTAATCTTCAAACTACCGTATGGGGTGCGGGAATGATTAAACATGAATGACCGGTTAATTGGGCCATCCATGTACCGTCTCTTGCATGTATTGGATTCGAATTTCTATTTTGTTACATATATTTAGCGTACATTAAGATTGCGTATATTTGCTTTTTATGTTATTGATTTCGGTTCTTTTCGATTAACTGTTTGTGCATTTGCTTTTTGCATGCTATTTGTTATTTTTTTTGTTGTGCTCGTAGTGTTCAGATGAGATTCTCTTGCTTGTTTCTCTTGATTCTCTTATTCGTTGATGGTAGTTGGGTATGGTATGTAGATGAAATTCTCGATTTTTTTGCTTTACTTTGCTGATTAGTTTGCTTGGGGTACATTGGGTGCAAAAGATTATGACTTTGCTGTCTTGTGTTTCTTGCTCTCACGTACATTGGGATCATGTGGACATCCCTGCTGGCGTGTTGTATCACGGTTCCGCTGTAGCGGTAGCGGGCAGTGAAATGATGGCTGTTAGGACCATAGGTGAAAACATGTTGTGCTGAGTTGCACAATACGTGGTCCTTTCGCCGCTACGCTCTTTCAAGGAACGAGGAAAGGACTCGCGCTTTCGCCTTTTTGGCATAGGTAAGGCACGTTGACCTAACCGAAACAGCGAATCGTTATTATTGCCTGCAGTAGTGATCTCTTTGCCATTGTTTGAGAGCCTACGAGGTTCTCAACCATTTCTTGGATGTGAACTTTATGTTGCTATATTGGGTTTTCTTCGGGCTTCCGGCGAAAGAGTCGTCTGCGAACAATTTTCGTTCTTCTAGAATTGCCGTCATTCCGTAGCATACGCTAGGTGTGGTGTTTTCTATTGTGAGTAACCCTTTTCCGTATAAGGTGGGTCCAAATATGGTCCTCGCAATGTGGAGGCCTGAAGGAGTTCTATCCGTTCCTGGTCTCAGTACCAGGTCGTGATAGTAGTCTAAACCCACTAGAATATGGGGGACTTGGTGCTCTCCTCGAAGCTTTGAATTGGCTAAACAAATATTGTTTTCTTTCAAAAATGTTATGTCCTTAGAGGTGAGCTGGATGCTCGGGAAACCGTTTGTAATTACCGGTTTCGTTTGAATCTTCATTTCCATTTCTTCGCCAAATCCGGAACATATCTTTATGGTGACTGCATGAGACTTAAACCTTTCTACATGGCCGCCCATACCCGACATTGTACAACTTCCCGTTGCCTGCCTAGGTATACCAAATTGGTCGGCCGTTCTTTCTTCTATGACCGTGTTTTGTGCCCCAGAATCGAAGAAAAAGAGGACTTTCTCGTAACACCCTTTCTTGAAGTTCCACATGCTTCCTTCAGCAGTCATTAAGACTAGCTGGGAGCTTGTTTGGCCTTGATCTG